AGAACTTTCCACGAAAGTATCCTCTCGACATTAATCCTTGACGAAAAATTCAGTAAAAATCCATCGAATATTACTTGCGATTCGTTGACCTCACTGAAAAATATGTGGGACAATTCTATGTAAACATTTTTTACTTTCGGCTGACTTTTTTGCTTTGTCGATTCTTTTTTTTTAACAAATATATTCTTCTTTCGTTCATTAAAAATGCATTTCTGGTCGATAGGTAATTTTAATGCAACGTGCATTGATAAACCATTCCCGATATTGTTGTGTCTTTTACACGACGTTCTAAAACAACATAGCTTTTCAAATTTGAAAAAACTATGAAACTCATCGCTCTCAATTTATTGTACTTCTAGTAATAATGATTGGACTGACGATCGCATTTATTTCGATGATAATCTTTCTTTGTACTAAAAGTATTCAGATCGGGTTTATACAAAATGTTTCTTTGACTCCTGAAAGTGCGTATCCCAAGCTATATAATGGTTCATGCGAGCAGTGTGTATGTGCAATGATCAATTCAAACAAGACAATCGTTTCTTTAAACTGCTACCGAACAAATAGTACATGTCATCTTTTTGGAAAAGCCTTACAAACAAGTCGCAGCTATTTAAACACAACATCGAATACTACTTTCTATTTCCTGCAATTACCACCACAAGATTTTGTCAGTCTCTCCTGGTCATTTGACGGCACTTTCCAGGAAAACTTACATCAAGTAGATACTGTACAGGTTAAAAATGTATCTTTTGCTTCACCTGGTATATACGGACGTGGTTCAGCACTAGCGTTAAATGGCTCACAGTATTTGATAACATCAATGTCTTATTTTGATGTGACATCAATTGGTTTCACTTTTGAAATGTGGATTTACGCTAATCGAATCACTAATATTTCAGTGCACCAAGGTCTTGTTGGCCAGTGTATATACCAAAACGCTAGTAGTTGTTTGCATATAAGTATTAAAAGTAACTATACTTATCTCGGCTTTTATAACAATGACTGTGCTGGAATCACGACTATATACATTCACACTTGGTATCATGTCGCTTTTGTATACAACGCAACGAGCCTACGACAAACTGTTTTTGTTGATGGCAAAGTTAGTTGCAATGGCAGTGCATCTGCCTTAAACCCACAGGGCTCTACACCATTAACTATCGGTACCGTGATTGAACGCACTCCAGCTAGATCGTATTCTGGATACTTGGATCAACTATCCTTTGTGAATCGACCGAAATTTTCGAGTGAAATACTTAATGATGCTACGCTTGTTTTCTATTTCGCCTTCAAAAACGGTTCGTTTCTCGATTCCGGTTCAAACGGAATGCTCGGCACACCCGCAAACATGATTGTCATCAATGACACTCTTCTATTCAATCAAACTTCATCATCATTCGAGATTGAAACATTCATGCTCGTGAATAAATCTCTTTCGGTTTCATTATGGATCAACCCATTTTCTACAAACAATAGAACAATTGTTCACACTTCGGACAACTTCACTTCCTGGGATATGATTGCATTTGATGATCAAAATCAGCTTACTCTGCAAACTGAATACAATCAAACAATGTTAATAGGTCCCAAACTGGTTCTGCATGTATGGACACACATTGTTCAAACATACTTTGCCAATGGAAGTGTTGTACTTTATATCAATGGAACATTATATAATCAAACAGAATCTTCATATTACCCAGCTAGTTGTCAAGTGTATACAATGATACTTGGCGACTGCGTACAAAGGCTTGGAACATGTAATCGTAGTAGTTATGAAGGTTTTATGGACGATGTTCGCGTTTATACTCGAAATTTAGATCTGTCAACCATTCAAAGCTTAAGAAATGATCGCAATTGAAAGATGTTTGAAATGACATTGACAATCTTTAATCTCAATAGATAGACATTCAATACGGTATAGAACGGAATCAAAATGTCCTTGTGCCACTAAATTCCATTTGATACTAAAAGTATATAATTGATTAATGAACTCTTGTCCTTAGACTATGTGTATATTTTTTTTCATCATTATGATCCTTTCACTCCGGTCGATTCATGTATATTGCATAATGACCTTCAATTATTCGTCCTTCTCTCTCTGTCTCACACTTCATTACTTTATATACCTACTTTCTCTCGCTTACTCTCCTTCTGATCTTGATATAATTTCCTCTTTTTTTTTAGCTTTATTGCATCACTGAATGTAGTTGCTCGTCAAATATATAATAAAAAGTCAAATGACTATCGACTGGCCTATGTCAAAAGACGAAATCTATGGGCCACCACCGGCCTACTCATTATATCCGCCATCGTCAATCTACACTATTCCTGAAACTCAAATTGAACATCAAGAACGTCCATCGTTCTCCTCTTCGCCTCCGATAGTTCTCACTCTAAATTTCACTCGTTATTTATTAGCAACTGCTTTACTACATTTTCTTCTTGGTCTGGCAATTATCATTTGTGATATTCAGTTGATAAGTATGAACGAATCTCTTCCATTTGTGGGTATATGTACAGGTTCCATATGTATTATTTTTGGAATTTATTTAATCATATTCATGAGTCATACAAAGAAATCCAAATGGTCTTTACAACGATTTAAATTATTTCATATCATCATATGTTTGCTGGTCATCATTGCATTGATTCTGTCGTCAATCAATCTAGGAGCGAATGCTTGCTACGAAAATTACTTTCAATTCGATCAATGCCAACCGACTGCGAAAAAATTAAAAATTGTTCTAATTACTTTTTATGCTGTAACATTTGCACAGATTTGTTTTACTTCAATTTTGACATTTATTCATATAAGATGAAATCAAAACAGTATCAACCTCGTCTAGTAGTGACAGTTCACTGAATAAAACCGATTGGTTAAAGAACAACCTATTTCTTTTCTTTCTTTTTGTCTATCCGTGTAATAAGCATGTGTCAACTATTCTCTCTCTCTCTCTCTCTTGACACGTGATATTTTTTTCAATAGTAGGAAAATCGAATTATGTAGTTGAAAATCCATATAGTTACCATGTCGGGAGACGCGAGTACATATACGATCGAAGCAACGTTTTGTCTTCAAACTTTATGTACTTGTTTATCAACAACGATTGGTCAATATGTCTATAGTTATTATCTTCAAACATATCCCATTCCGCCGAATAGTACGGTGAATTTTACGACGATTCGTCCGTTTTCGTTGTCGAGGTATAATGAACAACATGCTAAATGCGTCGAAGGTGATGTTACTCCAGAATATGATGCTCAAGCGTGGGCACAGGAAAAGTCTGCTGATCTTTTCTTCTGGGCAACTTTGATTAGTAGCTGTCCGATTATTATTATGACTTATCTTCTTGGTTTGTATACGCCTCAATTGGGCAAACGATTCGTTTTGGTTTTACCCATGCTCGGTGCACTGATTCAATTTGCTATTTGGTTAGCTATTATTTATTTTAATCTAGCAGATTACTGGTGGTATATCGCCGCATTTATTAATGGATTTTCTGGTTCCAGTAGTGTACTAAGTAAGTAAAAGGAAAGGACTTTCGGTAAGAAATCTATTAACTTTCTTTGGTCAGGTTTTATATTAACATTAATTGTAACTGATAATACCCCTGAAAGTAATTTATCTTCACGTTTTGTGCGTATCGGTGCGATGCAAACAGCATTAGCAGCGTGTGGAACATTTGGTATTGGGTATTATATCGAATGGCGTGGTTACACTGATCTGTATTGGATGGGTCTCGGGATAGAATTCTTGGCAATTCTAATCGTTATCTTTCTATTTAAATCTTCCAGTTCTTCAAGTGTTTCTGAACGAACACCATTGTTAAATTCATCTGCTAATGGAGAAGAATTCAAAGAGCTTTCAACGACAACCTGTAGTAATTTTTTTCAAGTTTGCACAGTCTTTCGACTAAACCGACGGACTCAGAAGAAATCCACTAGTCTACTTCTAACGTTATTCTCCTACATATTCTACACATTAGCGTCGGCGGCATTCGCGCCATTTCTGTGGTTTCTACTCAATGAACCCTTCTGTTGGACAGCGAAAAACATCGGAAATTACTCTGCTCTTGCTTCTATTTCATACGCCATACTAAGTGTTCTTGGTATGCAAGCATTGACAAATGCTGGTGGTAGTGATGCAATGATCTGTTTTATTAGTAATCTATTCTTTTGTGCTTCAACTTTATGGCTAGCTTTTGCTCGTCATGACTGGGAATTATACGCTGGATTGCTACTCAGTGCTTTCTCCGGTTATCAAGGTTCGTTGTCAACATCGATGATGTCGAAATGGTTACAACCACATGAGCGCTCAAATGCTCTGACATTTGTAACAGAAATGAATACGATTATGACTACATTTGGTACAGCGTTGTTCAATTGGGTTTATGCACGAACAGTCGTTAATTTTCGAAGTTTTACTTTCTTTATCGGTGCTGGACTATGTCTTATTCCATGTATATTGAATTTGTAAGTGTTTTACATAGGTAGAAACGACATGAATTCATCTTCTCTGTTTAGTTGTCTTTTTCTCGTTACACGGAAAATGTCCGATGAGGATATTCCACCGCCACCTCTATCTGAAACCGAGATAGAACCAGCGCCCTTACGTTTACCAAACAATGGACCACCACATGCAGGTGACGCTACTTGTATTGTAATTCCGTCTCGATCATTAACCTCATCGTTACGTACACCAGTTCTTGAGAGATCTCGAAATAACTCCGTACATGATGATGAAAGCGAGGAAGTACGAAGTTTGATAACAGATGATCTGGTTATTCTTTGATCTTATTCTTTTATATAAGCTTTCTATTTGTATCAGATATTTTTGTTTATATGTATGAATTTGTTTCTCACTAAACGAAAAATAAAAAGATAGAATCGAACAAAAGTCTTCTAAAATATTGCATTCATCCATTCTTCATATTGAGATTAAATTATGAAAAGTATATCTTTATTCAAAATAGGATTAAAAGAGAAAATAAATCTTATGCAGGCACTTGTTCATTTTGTTTTTCTTTCAATTCATCCCTGTGTACTTTAAGCATAGCTTCTTGATGTATCGTATCGAAATCGACTTGATCAGAAAGAAACTGGGTTATTTCTTCTATAGCTGATTGAACTGTTTCTTGAATTTGTAACAATTTCAAACCATTGTGATGACTGTCATGATTTAACTGACCGAGATGTTGTCCCACGAATTCATCTATACAAATTCATCATAATTCAATGCATAAAAATAACACTATTTACTTTTGATTCCCAGATAGAGATTTAATGCATCGTGAAGTCGTGTTTGTAGTTCAATCAACTGTCGCCGATCTTTCACTCGAGCGACTGCATCGAGACGTTGTTCTAATTTTCCCATCAAAAGACTTTTGATTTCATAGTATGTATACAAAACATCTCGATAAGAACCAGCTAGTTCAGTATTGAGTGCCAGTGCATTCTCAATAGCTGTCTAATAATCAAAACTCGATTTTTATGATGAGCAAAACATTTCAATGAGTGTACCTGTTTCTCCGATTGGTAATTCGAACGTTCTTGGAATAAATGTTTATTCAATGTATTCATGCTTGTTTGCCGTTGTACACATTGTTGAAGGACACGTACGACTTCTCGTTCACCGGCTTCGGCCAGACTAAGATTATACTTCACATCGACTAATTCTGATCTAAACGAAATAGATTTTGTGAAATAATTCGAAACAATGACTTTTTTTTTCGTACTCAGCTGCTTGAATTTCAACGCGAATCTTCGCCGTTAAAACTTCCATAGCACCACGAGATTCCGACATCTCTTGAATATGTTTCTTCATATAAGCGGATCGTGTGAGAATATGCTCGAGTTTGCTACCAAGATCATTTGCTGTTGTCTAGAAGTTGAATTTGAGATAAGGGAAAAGATTGATGATGACTTTCTTACCGAAGTTGACTCGTGTTTTTCGTTGATAACAGCTCGTGATTGTTCCAATTGACTCTTTTCTTTCAGATATTTCTCGTTGATTTCGTCGAAGATTTCTTTCAATGATTGTAAATTTTCCTTCATTTTTACATCTTCTGCTTCTAAGTTTGCCACACATGCAGATAAAACATCGTATTTGCCTTGTAAATCTGTTTCTATACGTCCGGCCTGAAAAGAAGCCCCCATTGAAAATCAAATCTCGGATTTGCAAGTGAAAACAAACATGTTCTGCACGGATAGCTTCGGCATCATTAATGCTATCGAGTTCACGTTGATCTGTCGCTAAATGCTCATCAATCATTCCAATCATTGTTCCTTCATCATCGATCTGACGTCGTAAAGATTCCATCAGTGCCTATTACAAGGACAGTAAGATTTGTAAGATAGAAAGAAAATTCCATAGACTAACTCGAAGTCCATCTTCTTCCTTTTGAAGTGCTTCAGTTTCACGTCGCATATCTGATGTTATTGATTCGTTGGTGTACAAAGCTCGATGTAAATTTTCCGTGACCGTTCGCAACATTTCGGCGTCACGAGTACGTTGTTTTTCATGACGTTCCAAAGTTTTCTGATGACGATCAATTTGTCTAAACGAATGTGACGATTAGCTTTATATAAGAATGGCAAGTATTTACTTACTCATTAATTTTAGCCAATTGTCGTTCGTATTCATCGATCAAGACTATCTTTTCTTTTGACTTCTTCAAAATTTTCTCCAATTTGCTCTCACGTTTCAGTGCATTCTCCTCTAGAATAGCCAATTCTTTTTTGCGCTCATCCTCACGGGCTTGTTCTTCCGATCGAGCTCGTTCAGAATTAGCAGTCAAACGTTGAATTTCAAATTGGATATTTTCACGATTGGTAGCAAGTAGTGATAACTACGGAGGAGAAATTTTGTGCATGAAACTGCATAATAAAGACAAAATCAGTACTTTGAGTTTACAATTAGCGATTTCTGCTCGCGCAGCATCACGTTTGGCCACTTCTTCTTTGTAAGTACGTTCGTTCTTTTTTACTGTTTGCTTCGAATCAGCTATAGTTTTCAAATAATTTTTGTGTAAATCTTGCGCGGCATGTAATTTGTTTCTAAACAATACGAAAGTATTTGAAAAAAGAAAAAAGGACGAAATGAAACGAACGTCATGGTTTGTAGAACTTTCTGCGTTTTCTCTAATTCGTTTCGCATTTCACCACGTTCGAGTGAAGCACGTTGATTAGCACGAGCAGCTTTTTCTTGTACATCGGCATTTTTTGCACGGCTTAGCATCAATTCATGTTCAGTTTCTCTCAAAACATCACTGATTCTCTTTATTTCAATGGATTCAGTTCGAACTTTTTCAACAATCAAGTCCGTGGTTTGACGAATGTTGCTGACTTCAATGTCAAGTTGTTGATGCCATATGCGAGATAGATCAACCTTTGCAAACATCTTTTCAGCCAACCGAGCATTGTAAGTGATATGCCATTGTAGTTCACTAATATCAGTGATACATGCATCATGCTCTAAGAAAACGAAAGATATGAAGTACAAGAATAAAACAGATGCCAACCTCTTTGCACAGCTAAAGGTAAATCTCGTAATCGTTTCAATCGCCAACTATCGATGCTTTCTTTTAATTTCTCTCTGACGAATTGTTCGTGTTCACACAAATGAATTAGGCGTAAGCGTTCACGATCTAGTCGTGCTAGGAGTAATAAGACTTCGTCAATAACTTCATCTTCGAGAATCTCATGATGTGGATGTTCATGTGCAACATGACCACCTTGGCCGACGATTTCAAGTGCATTTATAGAAAGCTGCACCTGACTGAAACGAACTTCCCGTTTCGATGTGGTACCTCGTTCTAAACACAGAATAAGTTAAATATAGATTAAAGTCATCTATTTCGTAGACATACTAGCAGATACGTCTCTACAAATACAAGAAAAATAAGTGCTTGTTTTTTTTTCAACTAGAGAAATGTATCTATTACTTTTGTTCAATCGCATTCTGCACTAATTCAAGATGATTGATCGCTTTTGTTACACATGTGCAAAAGACTCGACTAAACAAACAGCTCTTTTTTCGTTGAAAATCATAATCAGGCCAATTGGCTGGTAATTCAATGTCGTCGGCATCAAAACTACGAGCACTTCCTGAAAATAGGGTGCATAATAAAATTCATCGTCAATTGCGCACAAGTTTAACGTACGATTCTGTTCCTGATGATGCTGTCTGATATTTTCAACACCGCCCAAACCCGAATCCGACGAAGCGGATGAGAATACTATTGTTTCTAAACACAACATTGTTTATATATTTTTGTAATATAGCTAATTAACGCACCTGTATCAACCATGATCGATAATTACAAATCAATCAAATCAAAAGTTAATTCCATTTACGTTCAACTACGCTTACAGTTGCTTAGTTATTCTGGTTATAGATGTCGCTATTAAGAATTTAGTTATAATTCATTTATTTTATCAACTGAATGATAAGATATTCAACGAAATCGTTGTGAAAAAATAAAAATTTGAATTTTGAAATAATTTCATCTTATCTATTCTGATTTGCTTCTCAAAGACCATCCACCAAGTCGATAGGCTCATCATCATCATCAACGTCCTACTTACTTTACATTAACATTCACACTAATCATACGATTTTCAATAGTCTAGTTTTTATTCTATTGTTTCAACAAACAAGAACATGTCGGATTCGTTTATGTTGAGTATGTTCAGTCTGGCTATGTTTCTTGGTTCTTATCTTTCCGGTCTGTTCCCACTTGGGTTCAATCTGTCTGAAGTAAGCCATTCGAACTTCTTATTATCAAACAAAATCAACTGAACTTTTAAGACTAAAATGCGTTATGTTACTGTTCTCGGTGCAGGTCTTCTAGTCGGTACAGCACTTGCGGTTATTATTCCCGAAGGTGTTAATGCTTTATATACAGCTGAAATGGGTATGTGAATGACATAGCGAATAGTATTTACATTTAATCGATTTTGATTGCTCAGGAGGCCATCAAGAAACTCATTCCGATCATAAAATCGTACGTCGACATCTAAATGAAGTGAAACCTGACAAAGATGACAAGATTCAATCGGCTCATCAACATCCAGACGATCAACCTAAACATCTACATTCAGAAAGTGAACACAAACATACAGATAGTATTCATTCGACTATTGGTATGAAAGTATATCAAGCTAATTCGTTAAAACGATAATGACTTTGTTTTAGGTATAACCTTAGTTCTGGGTTTCGTATTCATGTTAATCATCGATAATTGTAGTTCGAGAATTATTCACCGACATGGAAGCCAAGGTTTGATTTGAAAAAGAAGTGTTTTCATGTGATGAATAAAAAGTGATCTATTACTGTATTTAGTGATTGATTCCTCTGGCTCGGTGATTATAACAAAGCCAAAGTCAACATGGACAGCAACATTAGGTCTGATTGTTCATGCGGCAGCCGATGGAATCGCTTTAGGTAAGAATCAACGTGACGATTAGACGACGAAAACTGTATTTTTTTTAAGGCGCAGCATCAGCAACAAGCCGTTTCAATGTGGAATTGATCGTTTTTATGGCCATCATACTTCACAAAGTAGGATTTGCTGTATTTTTTCTAAAAACTGGAGTTCTCATACATGGTCTTCAGGCACCAGCTGCTTTTGGTCTTGTCTCATTTCTATTATCTGATGGTGTTGATCGAAAACGTATTCGACGCCATCTGTTAATATTTTCTCTAGCCGCTCCAGTAATGGCTATCTTCACGTTTGTTCTGCTAAAGAGTGTAAGTTAATTGTTATGATTTCGAACGAAACGAAATGGTTGAATGTTTCCTTTTCAAGGGACTTCGCGATAGCTATTCGGTTGACTCAACTGGTATTGCAATGTTATTTAGTGCGGGTACATTTCTCTTCGTTGCGACAGTACATATCTTACCTGAAGTTCAATCGCATTTTGACGATCGTCAGTTTCGCGCAGTTGAACTTCTTATTCTTATTCTTGGTTGTTGTTTTCCTATTGTTCTTTCCATGGGACATAAACATTGATTTATTTTCGTTTTTTGTTTGTCGTCGTAACAATGTTTCATATATATACATATCTATTAGAAGATATTCTTTGAATCCTATTGAAAGGTAAAGTTTAATTATGGCAATGTTGTCTTTTAGATTGTTTTGTGTATGTATATGTGTTTCTTACCCGATGGCAGATGATATTTATGTTGTTGAAAAGATCGTTAGTCGAAGAGTGACAGAAAGTGGACAAGTGGAATATTTTTTAAAATGGTTTGGCTTTGACGAAGATGATGCAACATGGGAGCCAGAAGAGAATGTGTTCTGTAAAGATTTAATTGAACAATATGAATACCGAAGAAAAATTGTACGAGATTTCATAAAAAGATGATTTCAATTGAAGGAGTTCTGTTTAGAATGACGAATGTAAACAAATACTCGAGTGCATGTGTGATGAAGTTCACAGTTCATTGGAAATAGGTAATTTAGATAATAGGGTCGCTCATCGTGATAGATATTTTGTTTCAGGAACACCTGCGTCTCTAACGGTGAATGGAAACAGTGAGGAGCAAGAGATTAATGATAACTTGAAAACATTTGATCGAAATCTCATTACCGATCTCTTATCAGATCATAATCTCCAGAGTAGGACTGAAAACGACTTTAGTAGAATGTACCATCATTTTTATTTCATAGACGAACAAGAAAATGGTCTTCCCGGGGTTCATTCCAATCATGAATGTTCGAAGCGACCAAACACTACTCCATTAACTCGAAAGAAAAAGCTTCGACCAGCGTCTGTTGAAAATACTACCGATGAAATTCCATCACAATCGACCAATATGGACATCGAACCAATCGACTATCTTTCTCTTGGACCTGAACGTATTATTTCGATAACTCGATCGCGAACTGCTGCACATGAGCTGGAATTTTTATTAAAATGCACACGTTGCCCATCCAAATTGTACTTTATACCCAATGACAAAGCGAAAGAACTCATACCAGACTTATTAATTGATTTCTACGAAAGACACATCAACTGGTTTATCGATCGGCCATCTTCGAGACAGAAATTGCAAAAACAAAAATTTTGAATAGATTTCACTCTTTTCGTATTGTGTACCACTACAGTTCATTTTGTATATTAAACTTAGAAATAATCGACTATCTGCCTTGTAGATTTTAACCGCTCTTTTCTCTCTTTTCGATGGGCTTATTTCAATATCGAACAATATTCCCATTACGCTTCATTTGTCGGTATGCGAGTACAACTCGTTTACAAGTATTTCAAAATGCCGTGCAAATCACTGATCCACAACGAATTCGTAATGTGGGAATCATTGCACATATCGATGCAGGTAAATCTAAGAATCGTCTATTTCGATTCCAAGACGAAACAATCTCTGTGTTTCTCTTCTTTCACCAAAGGGAAGACAACAACAGTAGAGCGAATGTTATATTATGCTGGATTCATTCGATCGATGGGTAACGTTGACGATGGAAATACAACTATGGACTACATGGAACAAGAACGTGAACGCGGTATCACAATAACGTCTGCAGCGATTACAATTCCATGGAATAAACATCGTCTCAATCTGATTGATACACCCGGTATGTTTTGTCTGTAAAGGTAAGTTATAGAAAGAAAACAGAAGGAAAGACATGATGTGTTTTCTTTCCAAACAGGACATGTGGACTTCACCATTGAAGTTGAACGATCATTACGAGTTCTCGATGGAGCAGTAACCATCCTCGATGCATCTGCTGGTGTTGAAACTCAGTCATTGACAGTCTGGAGACAAGCTAATCGCTATCACATTCCACGGATAATCTACATCAATAAAATGGACAAACCAACCGCAAATCTATCGATGTGTCTGGAATCGATTAGACAAAAATTTGCTATAGAACCGTTACTTCTTCATACACCTCTTGGATATGGCAAACAATTCACTGGTTTTCTTGATCTATTGAATGAAACAATCATCTCTTCGGATAAAAGATCGAACTCCGCTTTATCTGACCTTCTTACGAAGGATCGAGCAAAATTAATCGAAAAACTCGCTGATATTGATGATAAAATAGCTGAACTTTTACTATTTAATGATAAACCAATTTCATCCAACCAATTAACAGAAGCAATATGTCGTCTGATGGTAAACGATCAACGTTATGTACCTGTTCTCGTCGGCAGTTCTTTGAAAAATCTCGGTGTCCAAACTTTACTCGACGCTATTGTGAACTATCTTCCAACTGCGAGAGTCATTCCAGGAACATCAGCAACAAATGTAGGTACGTTAATGTACATATTCAAAACCATTCATGATCGACAAAAGCAACCGTTATCATTCGCGCGCATCTATGCTGGCTCGGTAAAACGACGGATGGGATTGACGAATGCACGAACGAATGACAAAGAGCAGGTCAATAAAGTGTTTCTACCGTTTGCTGACAATATGGAAGATGTCGACGAGATTCGAGCAGGATCAATTGCTGTTCTCAGCGGATTTAAAGAAGTATGTCGATCTACAATTAATTCCTTATTTCATTATCTGTTCATATATAGGCGTCAAGCGGTGACATACTTGTTGCCAACAAGAAACCAAATCTTACTAGTCATTTACACGATCTAAAACAACAATATACTTTTCTACCTGATCCTGGTTTAGAAGCACCTACGCCAGTTTTCTTCTGTACCATTGAAACTTATTCTGAAAGTGGTCAAAAACAGCTCGATATTGCTTTGAAAAATATTAAACGTGAAGATCCATCATTGCGTGTTCGTGTTGATGAGCAAACAGGTCAGACGATACTCCTAGGTATGGGTGAATTACATATCGATATCATTCGTGATCGATTAAAACGTGAATACGGTTTGGAAACATATCTTGGCCCATTGAATGTGAATTATCGTGAAACACCGCGAAAATCCAATCAACAGACGATTGTTTGGAATTCAACAATCAACGAACGACATGCAACTATTTCGATTACGATGTCGATAGATCCTATTGTTGTAGAAGATAAGACGATCGTATCGTTTTCAGAAGTGAAACTTGTTCGGACGGAAGAACAAATTTTTGAACATTTAAGAAAAGATCATCTCGGTAGATAGCATATTTTCTCCATTGATGTCTGTATATCAACAGCTTTCATTTGTTTTAGACGCAATCAATCACGGAGTTCGTCTTGCATTATCATCAGGTAGCATTACCTTCGAAACGTCGTACCATAGATCAAGTTTTTGTATAGGATGTGTCAAAGGTGCTGAAGTTATCAATGTTCAAGTTAAACTACATGACATTCAGTTAACTGGATCGATATCACCAGCATTATATTCGGCAGCTGCATCTGATTGTATTCGTGCATGTCTTCGTCACGCCGAGTGCATTCTTCTTCAACCGATGATGCGCGTTGAGGTATGTAACCATTTCTCTGCTATATTTTCATGCTTTAGTATTTACCAATTCTAGCTGGTCTGTGCAGCTGATCGTACACAACCTGTTCTAGAAGATCTAGCCAGACGACATAGTCAGATCATTGATGTACAACAAGGAACTGGCAACGGATTACAAGAATCGATGAGTACAATAATAAGCCGAACACCGCTAGCAGAATTAATCGGTTATAGTTCGACATTACGAACATTAACTAGTGGACAAGCGGATTTTACGCTAGCTATTGATGGTTATGAGCCTGTGTCAAATCATTAAATGAACTTTATAGCCTTTCGTTTGTTAGATAAATCGATTGTTTTCGGATAAATGATATTTATTAAGAAAACAAAACTAGAACTTTTGAAATACTCTCCTCGTCTCATTCATATGAAAAGTGGTTTAATCAAGTTTTAACAGATAGTAATTTAACAATGGTCGTGTATAGTATTTCTCGATTCTAAATATATCAATTATCAGGAAAGCTAGTTGAAATAATTAGTTAAGAAAACAGTACAAACAGCGAAACTGTTAATCAGAACGGGGTGTTGATGGCGAAGAAATAAATTGGAAATAGATATCTTATGTTGTAGAAGAAATCTGTTGTCATCACTGTGATAACATTTGTTGCCATGGGTCAAGTTCATTTTTCAGTTCCATTAATTCTTTTTGCTCTTTATCTGATAAAGAGTGTGTAATACTAATGAAACGCTGTGCGTGTTCACACGCTTCTTTAAATTGTTCGAGACCAAATAGTGCTTTAGCTTTCCAAGCATGAGCTTTTGCTAATAGTAGATGACTATTGGTAAATGAATTGCGTATAACTTCTAGTGCTCTGTCCAGGTACATCAATGCCGTTTCATATTCTTCCATGTCAACAAACATTACTCCGAGATGAATGTAATCAGTGGCGACCAACGAACCGTTAGACGGGCCACATTTTAGAAGAAGTTCTAGAGTTTCAGCAAGATACGACATAGAAATAAGAAGACTGTCGCGAGACGATTCTGTTTCACTGTCGTTCTCATTGTCGCATGATAATACTGACTCGTTTGTTGTAGACGAACGTTGATAGCTTTTAAATGTATTTTTCATATTGAGGCAGTAACTTTGTAAACAGTCAATCATTTTATAACGACTATTTTGATCTACATTTGAATTGAGAAGCGGCGAAAAGCTTGGTAATGGTAACTCTTTCCCAAGCTGCAATCCGCGTTCCATATCGGAGAATGCTGCCAACCAGTTGTCGATCGTCTTTTTTGGATCAGTATTTAGTTGATCGTATTCAGTTGATGTTACCTGGTCAGGTGGCAACGGCTCCCGAGGATTTTCGAAAATATTCTTCAGACGACCGACGGCACTCTTAAAACATTCGTTATTTTCTTTGAGTTTAGCAGTATCATGGGAAGTAGCCTGTAATACTGGTTGCTCATTCGACATGAACTGTGACCGCATTTCGAGCGCTTTTTCGAGATGTGAAAACGAAAGTGGTATATTGCCAGTCAACTGCTTCGTCATAGAAATACATATATGAGTCCTACATATATCTGGGTGAGTTTGGGGCTGAGATTTATTTTGAATTTCAAGAGCTTTTTCGAAGTGTAAGAGACTTGTTGAATAATCACCTGATGATTGATAAATAGATCCTAGACAGAAGTAACCCATGGCCAGATGTGGATGATCTGATGGAAGTGACTTCTCCAGCATTTCAGTTCCCTTCGTGGCGTAAGATAATGCCACGTTATGATTACCTATAGAGCTATATGGCATACTAATACTGATGTAGACCGTAGCCAAATCTGGATGATTAAGTGGCAAGTATGTTGTTTGTAGATCAAGTGCTTTCTTATAGTATGATAATGCCATTTCAATGTCACCTGTACTATGATGAACGGCGCCAATATAGATGTAGGTGGTAGCCAGCGGTTGATGTATAAGTGGTAGATGCTTTTGAAACGCCGGAAGTGCTTTCTCAAAATACAGCAACGCTTCTCTGAGCTTATTCATAAAGCAATAGATCCTACCAATAAAGTAATTAATCATAGCAACTAATAAATGATCAGGTGGAAGCAGATTACGGTAATTTTCTAATTCTTCTTCAAGATATGAGAGCGATTTCGAATAATTCCCCACTGATTGATGCGCTTCGCTAATTTGCAAATTTACACAAGTCTGAAGAATTCTATTTATGTCCATGTCATCATTCAGCTTTTTATCTAATGACATCGTAAATATTTCGATTGCTTTGTCAAATTTACCCATTCTGCACATCAACATACCCATCTGATTCCATCCACCCACCACTCCTATTTCATTTCGCAAATAATCGGTCAAGCGTTTCAACTCTGGATCATCGTCATTCGTCAAAATCAAATTTACTTCCCAAAGACGATCATCGATTTCAGTTATTTCATTTATGCGAAAGACAGTGTGCATCGAGAACAAGATTTCGTCTTCAAGTCCAAATTGGCTTACCCCATTTATAGAGACATACGGTGTAGACGACACGGATGGATCAATTTGCATTCGAAATAAAATTCCATGTTGCTCAATATTTTGACGAGCACTATCCGCATATGTATATGAAACTTCTCGGTCCTTGCTTGTGGATAAGAAGCAATTGAATGCAAGCAGACCACCCTTACCATGTCGTATTTGATCGATATCAGCACTTTTCATTCCTTGTCCCCGATAAACAATCATCTTCGTCAAATGTGATGTTTCTTGGTAATTTTGTTTGATTTCTTCATGCAAATCGCGAAGAAAGAAGCCCATCTTAATTAACATTTCGGTATCCTGGGTACGCAAAGCGTTGTTTAGTGTAATATAAACAAATGTCTCTTTTGTGTACCACCAGATGGGTGAATGTCGATCATAGAACTTTTGAAACTGAACAAGTGGCTGTTTTCGTAGGTTGTACTCTTGGAGATGTTGAAGACAGAAGTCTGTAAAGGCTTGTCGAGCATTGTGATCATGTTCGAGTTCGAGAATGGTTTCTTTAAGTAACTGGGTGTACATGAATGTTTGATCTAATTGGTCGAGATTAGGAGTGGATGTGGTCGGTACAATACTAAAGGGTGTTGAATCAACTTGTCGACGACATGCATCTTGCTTCAATGTATCGATCATGGCAAAGAAATCAGTGTATGCTCCGTGCACTTTGCTATGGTTGTTTATTTGTTGATCGTTCTGTGTTTGATGATGATTGAAAATATAAATTGCTACAAGTTGAGGAACGTTTTCTACCAGGGAAAGCAATTGCTGTACCTGATGATTGGACATGATTAGAAATATTTCCTCATCGATAATATCAGTCATAAAATCAACGCATTCGTCAATATCTGTAAATATATGGAATGAGTCGGCAATATCACGAAGCCTTTCGACTGTATCATTGATTTCTAATCCTGAATGTGAATACTCGGCATTTGAATTCAACCAAATAACGCTAATGTTTTGTGCAATAAAACTATCGATTTTCCAATGTAAACTATGTTCGGCTTGCAACTTAGTGAAAATATCATTAGTATCACCATGTGTAAAGTTATTTTGTTTGTTAATAATGCTTGCCTGTTGTGACGTTAGATCATCATCATCATCGTTTGGAGGTAATGATATAATACTAAACTTCGAGCGACTTTTACTCAGCATATCTATTCGATTAAAATGATCATCCTGCACACAATAGAGAACAAACTACATGTACTTACCTTTCGTTATAAATACTTCAACAATGTGTAAGCTTATCACTAACTTTCAGAATTCTTTTTATACTATTTGCTTTTTCTATCAATCAAGTAATCAATATTGTCCAATTCTGTTCTGTTTACTTTTTAAATAGTAAAGTTGGAAAGATGGCCGTCTCCTACAAAATAAACATTGTTTTGCCATTGGTTCTTGATATCAATCAGAAATCAGCGGTGCATCTAACTTCGAAAGTTTTTTTTTATTTGAGATAAAAGAAACCGAATACAACACAACAAGAAAAAATCGAACTAAATCACGGCTAAAATTGAAAAATACTTTTGTCCTTGATTCCCATATCACTTTTGCAAATCTCTTATTTTTTCTCTTTCTCCGTTGTTGATTGCTGTTGTTTTTGTCTATCGGCTTCCAATTTACTTTGTTCATCTTCATATTGCTTAATTAATGTTGTGAGTTCGTCATCTTTGAGTAGACGAATCGTTGTTTCATTGGTCTTATCATCATGTTGTAAAACAGCTATTTCAATCTTCTCAGGTGTTAACTTTGTTGTATCCAACGTTTTACTAAACACTCTGATCGCCAATCGTAAAGCATCGTTCAGTTGCGTTTCACCTATCTTATACTCTTGTTTGAGAATCGATATCGCCGTTTGCGAGTTATGACCAACGCAGGTCGCTTTCCATCCGCCATAGTTTCCACTTGGATCCGATTGATATAATTGATAACCATAATGTTTATCCCAGCCCATGTAAAGAAATGAGACACCGAATGGACGTTTGCCGCCAAATTGTGTATATGCTTGTTTAATGTTACATAAATGTGAGACAATGTATTCGATCGGAGCGGGTTCTTGGTATGTCAATAGATATCTGAATGTGAAAATCAACTAAAATTTTTCTTTTGCAAAGAGAAAACTTACCGTTGACCAATCATACGTAGTTCATTGATTAAGACATTTGCATCGCTGGTTATACCAGAAACTGAACAGCAAAGATCATCATGGATTTTATAGATTTTTTCGGAATATTTCACGTCGTCAAGCAATGGGCTAACGTTGCGCTTTTCACCGGCTAAAACGACACCGTTTTCAGCAAGAATACCCAATGATGCACCGGCATGTGAGATAGCTTCTAAAGCATATTCCACTTGATATAATCGACCTTCAGGTGAAAAGATCGTTGCGCGCGTATCATATCGACGAGCCATATTTCTGTTTGATTTTCTTTTAAATTCAAATCTACAATTGAATTTACAGACAAAACAACGAAAAAACTACCAATTATTTTTTTATTGCATTTTGTTCGGCGAAAAACAAATGAATAGTTTACAAAAACAAACAGATCTGTACAAGAATGAGAGATCTTTATGAATGAATGTCGGCTTGACGACGTTTAGGTTTTTTAGGATTGCGTGAACGACTTTTTGCTTTACAAATGGGACAGATCGGAGCATTACGGTGGATTTGCTGTTGACATGATTGACAAGTCTGAAAAGTTCAATGAAAACATAGTACGATAAACATTGAGTGTATTTATTTGATTACAGACCTTCATCGGTGGCGGTTGTTGTCGAAAAGTGGTACGATCAAGATTCGATCCAATCACTTTTGGAATAGTCAACGTTGGTGTTTGTGGCTGATTATTAGTCGGTGCTGGAAGATTTGGACCTGCTGAATTCGCCATTGGTTGAGAATGTAATGGCGTGTTGAATGAGAATCGTTCATGGAGATTATCCAAACTTGTAGATAACGAAGGATCATTTCGAGTCGATGGGAGATCGTGATCAGATGATTGTTGAGAAATCAATCTGTAGAAACACACTTCTTCTTTGTCCAGAGAATCGAACGAAACTTACTGCATTGTCACCGCTACTGCCTCATCATCATCGATAGAAAGTCTCTCAACATTGAGCATGTCACGTAATTTGTTCACTTGTTCTTTGATCGGTTGATAATCTTTCAGCAAACGTTTGCTATCTTGTATTGCTTTACTTCGTTCTTCTTCAGCTTGCTTAATCGTTGTTTCCATCTACAGGTAAACGGAAAAAAAACTTCGTTTTATCGAAGAAAAACTGAACGCACGATATTGATATCAGCATGGATTAATCGCAATTCTTCAATGTGAGATAAACGTTCTTGTACAAGCATATCCAATTCTTTACGAAATTCACGTAAAGCTTGATTCTCACGTGTAGCCAATTCGGTTATTTGTTGCAGATTTGTTTGAAGACGTTGAAATTGATTTTGTTTTTCTCTAAGAAAGTTCGGACAGAAAAAGTTGGGTACGTGTAACGATGATTGGTAGCATACAAACCCTAATTCTTTGATTAATTCAAGCTTGCGCATTGATGTAACTAGATCTTTTTCATCGATCGCGGATATTGATGATGAAGCTCTTTCGCCAGTTGCACTTGTATTTTCCATCTCAAATTATCTTAATTCAATTTCAATACAGCTGAGCTGACAAATAAGCACGACTGCTGAATGAACGAACGAAATAACAACAAAGGTCAATCCTATTAAGTTGACCAATAGAAAAAGAGGGCGCTACAAGCAAACCATTACCTATAGAGGGTACTATCAACAATCTATTCACCAGAGTTTTATTCCAGTCTCTTTTTTTGAAAAAAACAAAACTTTAGCTAAAATTTACAATCATCAATCACTTTATTTCGAGTTCTTAATCCCACACGACATTGATATCGAATCAATCGATATACCATTTCTGCCACTTCCATCAAAGACAGAAAACTAACACCAATCCAAAGACCTGTTTGCCCTCCGACATTTGATAATACATCCACAGCAGTCACCGTTGCTGCCTGTGTATAGTTTTCTACGACACTTGATTCATGAATTAACTCAATCGATAGATAACTATTTTCAATATGCGATTGCCATTGTGTTGTCCAATCCTTCGGCAATGGTATATCTGATTTTTCAACAAATTCTTTTATATCATTCATTAACCATACTGGCGGAGCTTTCCACATCGATTGTTTGACAATAAAATTCGTTGCTGAGCATTGTTGTGAACAGTACGAACAGTATTTGTCATATGACGACGAAGATGTTAAAAAAACATGAGCAGCTTCTGAGTAACACTTATTTGATATATTACATAGAGGAGCGATGATTAATTTATTCGTTCCAGGTATTAATACTGATCGCGCATTCCATTGTTTCGGATGAATACATCCGCATTTCTGATAACTATAAAAAGCTTTTGTCTCGAATTCAAACTATTTTAAGCACAATACTTACATATAGACTTCTGTACATAAATCATAGCAAACATCTTCTGAATATTCATATTCGACACCTTCATAATTGTCAAACATGGCTTGCATCATTAATGGTATTTTATCATTACATGTTGTATACGGAGATCGCAAATATGAGATAGTCTTTTTCGAATACGTCATTCGATGCTTATAGCCAGCAGACAATGCCATACCGGAATAGTCGATCATAGGCAATTGGACATTATCGTGCACCACACCGATCAGGCCGATACCTACTCATGAAATAGTCGAAGATTTCGAACGTCACTCGTGAATCATTCGGTTTACCTTCGCGAATGTATGGAACATACTGGTGACTGTGAACGTAAAAACGTAAATATAGATTGCCTGGTCCACCATTCTCATCACTGAATCGGATATTTGTCTGATTTTTTAATTTGGCATTGAATGTATAACATTGACCATAGGTCGACGAAGAAAACGAAGTGAAATTTACAGCTGAACAAACTCGTCCGTTGAAAACACATTTCATCAGCATTGTCTCGAGCGGAAAGAAGAATTCATCGAGCGATTCATTTCGATTAATTTTCGTTTGGAAAAAGTCAGCTATATATCTTGCTTCAGTCGACGAAATTGTCGTTGACTCACTCACATTAGTTTTGTTCAATGCAGTAAGGAAAGCAATGTACGGTTGAATAAACCGATCATAACGAACAGGAACAAGATTGCAAATAGTAAACGCGGGAAAATACTGTGGCCATTCGCTCATCATTGTGACTGTAGTTTGAGTGGAATAATCAAAATAGTGACGAATTTCTTCAACGACAAAGTAAAGCGTAGTGATAGCGAATGCTGTGAAACATATTGACCAAAAGATGGTATTATGTTTACTCTGACTACGAGCAATACCCGGAATACCATGTGCAGAAGTATTCAAAGCAAATGCTCGAATAATCGAGCGACGACGATGTTCAGTTGTTCGCTGAATATGTATTATTCTCGGATTGATCATAAAAATTTGCCCAAGTGGCATCACGCAAACAAATCTTTCAAGCAACTGTATTTGTTTCTTATAGGAACTATTTCATTTATACAAGTTCACTTGGATTGTTAACCTTTTCAAGAATATGATGTTTTATTACTTTACAGTAGGTATAATATCCTTCGTGGCTATGTGATAAGTTATGTCGGTAGACGTACGTCATGTTTACTTCGGGAACGGATGAATAACAGAATCAATCAAAGATACAGCATGTGGATCAAACAGCATATTACCGTCATTTTTCAGAAAGAGAAAACAATATTCATCGACAGGATACGTATTTCTGTTCTGAGAAGATAATATACAAATGCGCATGATTCGAACCAAATGATGTTTTTGGCACTCAGTTCTTTTGATTTAGTGTGATACATGATTGTGTAAAGAAAATCTTTCGAAATAATATGATTATTCTCAGTTATGACAACGAGAACCTGGTGTTTTTCTGATGAAAAAAAAAGGAAAAAGAGAGGTGAACACTTGAAACTGAAGATTGCTTCGAGCGATGTGTAAAACCTGTTACTGAGTGTAAACTGAGCAAAAATAATGAGTAGAACAATGAATGTCTATTCTAGTGCAAAGAAAAGCATTTTCTGTCTCATTGAAAAGGTTCCTAACGGATGTTAGCTGTTGAAAAAAATGTTTTTGTGCGTATTATTGTGAA